TTTTGAAAGCTGCTCATTTCACACAGCACCGAACACTGTTCGCGACAAAGGCTGCAGAACGAAGCTCAAAGTAAAAGACAGTAGGAAATGAAACACATGACAATAAAACACGCTCACTAATAAATAAGAGCCAAGCCATGAATTCAGCTCACAACATACCACCGGCAAGAAGAAATGCCCCAAAGCTTTGCTTAAACCAAATAATACGAGAACAGATGGCTCCCCTGGGTCTCTGGGAAAAGTTAATGCATACAGAAGGCTGCAAACCGGAGCTCGGTTTGGGATTTTGGCAGAAAACATAGGGCATTACCAACATTCAAGGTGAAAGAAGGGAGGTGTGTAGATTCAGAGACGGGATGTTTTTTCATCAGGTAACACAAACAGATATATCTGGATGTCTCCAACTGGGTCCCCGTGGGCCGCAGGGCACGTTCCCACTCCCGAAATTAACCAGAGCCGTGCTCAGCAGCGTTCCGGGGGGACCTACCGCTCCCCACTGCCCAACTGGAGAATTAATTTAACTCGGGACACTGGGACAATAAGGAACGAACCCTTAAGGGCGACAAAAATGTACTTTGGGAAGAATTTTCCCCACCCGCTGTGCACAAGTGTCCCAAACTGGTGAGGAGATGCCGCTGACTTGCTGAATGGCCGCCTGGGAGAGCCGCCTGCCTTTCACTTGCTCGGGGAGGGGTGGGGGGGAGGCTGCTGTTACAGATGCTGAGATCTCCCAAGCACAGAGAGATCGCACCCCACACCGGGCATCCGTATTAATGCCCTTCCTTCTCCTCACCAGGCAAATCCAAATGGCATTGTCTTGCCAGAGGGTGGGGAAAATGACAGCAAAGTCAGGTGGTTCAGAGGAAGGCATGACTAACAGGAATTCATGACAAGGGAGGTCAATTAATAACAATACAAACTCACATTTATAGAACGTTTTGTTATTTTCAAAGCAATTTTTTTTTTTTTTTTTTTTTTTTTACCTGCTATCTCATATGCTCCTCAGAGCAATTCTGTGTGGTAGGAAGGCAGGGATTATCAATCTCCATCTTGCCTGGGAAGAAACAAAATCTTGGGACAGCGAAGTGATTTGCTCAAGGTCACGGAGCAATCACGGATTTCTAAGGCTGGAAGGGCTCTTGGTCCTGAAGGGCAAGTGCGGGCGGTGACTCACGGGGGCACCAGGCTTCAAATTTCAGTTTCGCACCCACAGCAGACACGGGCAATCGATCACAGAGCTCTCATCCACAGAGCTGGGTCCTTCTCAAGCCAGCCATGACTAGTTGCCCGGAACCAGCCCTTAAGAGGAAACCCTTTGCCACCCCAGGCCCTCTCTAATCGTCTCACTTTCCATATGAGGAAACTGGGCCCAGAGAGGAGAAGGAACTTGGCCAAGACTGCCCAATGGGTTCGTGGCACAGAACCCACACCCCCTCTTTGTGAACCCAGGGGTCTCTCCAGCACACCAAGCTACACCCCATCTGCTGGGTAAATAACTCCCCAATGAAAGATGAACCAACAAGGCATGGGAATGACATTCTTCCTGACCTAGCCAGAGCAAGTGGGTTTTCTGTGCTGAGCAAGGGGACGCATTCCTATTCTTAAGAGCAGAAGCAAAGACCCTTCCAAGGGTTTTAAGCCTGAGCACCTGGCAGGATGGAAGAGGGCCTACGGATCAAAAACCAGAAGTTCGATTGCAGATCTCCTCCATGTCCACGTAGACAAGTCTAGAGAGCTGGCTATTAAAGTGTGGAGTTGAAAGCTGTGAGAGACTGGATGAGACCACCCAGGAAGGAGAACAGAGGGAGAAGAGGCCCAGGGCACTTGATCTTAGAGGTCAAGGACACAGGGGAATCAGAAAAGAGACCAGGAAGGAGTGGACCTGTAAGGAAGGAGAAAAACCCAAAGAATGGAGGCCCAACAGCCAAATGAACGCTGTGTCCCAAGGAGGAGAGAAGGATGGACTGTGTCAAATGCCACTGAGAGGTCAGGTCCTATGAGGGCTAAGAGTAGACCACGGGACTTAGCAACTCGGAGGCCAGCGGTGACCTTGATAAGAGCCTTTTTTTTTTAAGATTGGCCCTGAGCTAACATCTGCTGCCAACCTTTGCTTTTTTCTTCTTCTTCTCCTTAAAGGCCCCCAGGACATAGTTGTGTATTCTAGTTGTGGGTCCTTCTAGTTGTGACATGTGGGACGCCGCCTCAACACGGCCTGATGAGCGGTGCCATGTCCGCGCCCAGGATCCAAACCGCTGAAACCCTGGGCTGCCGAAGTGGAGCGCGTGAACTTAACCACTCGGCCACGGGGCCGGCCCGATAAGAGCCATTTAAATTGAGTTTGAGGACAAAAGCTTGACTGAAGTGGGTCCAAGACAGAAGAGGAAGCAAGCAACTGAGGACAGAGACTGGAGACAATTTCAGAGATTTCCTGTAATGGTTGCTGGGCTGAATTGTGTCCCCCGAAGTTCACATGCTCATGCCTTAACCTGAGTACCTCAGAATGCCACTGTAGCTGGAGGAAGGCCTTTAAAGAGGCGATTAAGCTAAAATGACGCCACTAGTGTGGTCCCTAATCCAACATGCCTGGTGTCCATATAAGAAGAGGAAATCAGACATGCAGAGAGACACCGGGGCGCACGCACACAGAGGGAAGACCACGGAGAGAGGCCTCAGGAGAGACCAGCCCTTGACCTCAGACTTGCAGCTTCTAGAGTTGTGAGAGAAGAAATGGCCATTGTTCAAGCGGCCCAATGTGTGATAGTCTGTTACAGCAGCCCCAGCAAACTAGTACAAACGGGCCACAGAGCAGGGCAGTGATAGCCGAAAGCGAACAGGAAATCAAGGCGAGTTTGTTCTGTTTTTTGAAAGATGGGTGGGACTGCAGCAGACCTGTACTCTGATGGGAGCGGTCCCTGTAGAGAAGGAAAAACATGGATGACGCCGGAGAGAAAGGAGACAACTGCCGGGGAAGTGTCTTGGGACAGGCCAGGCGGGCTCTGGCGCCTACACGAGGAGGTGGGCCTGGCGGGTGGAGGAGGCAGGGGAGGCCCTGGGCCCTGACACACGAGGCAGGAGCCAGAGAGCGGAAGGAGGAAGGTCATCAGCTTAGGGCACGAGGGCATCTTGGGCCCAGTTAGTCTGGCTCTGCCGCAAGACAGAAAAGATTGGGTTTAAAAATGGTATTTTATAAGATATCACCTTACACCCGTTAGAATGGCTATAATCACCAAGACAAAAAATAACAAATGTTGGAGAGGGTGTGGAGAAAAGGGAACTCTCATACACTGCTGGTGGGAATGCAAACTGGGGCAGCCACTACGGAAAACAGTACGGAGATTTCCCAAAAAATTAAAAATAGAAATATCGTATAACCCAGCCATCCCACTACCAGGTATCTAGCCAAAGAACATGAAATCAGCAATTCAAAGAGACTTATGCACCCCTATGTTCATCGCAGCATTATTCACAGTAGCCAAGATGTGGAAGCAACCCAAGTGCCCATCGACTGACGAATGGATAAAGAAAATGCGGTGTATATATATATATATATATATATATATCTACAATGGAATACCACTCAGCCATAAAAAATCCTCCCATTCACAACCACATGGATGGACCTTGAGAGTATTATCTTAAGTGAAATAAACCAGAGAAAGACAAACACTGTATGACTCCACTCATATGTGGAAGATAAACAAACACATGGACAAAGAGAACAGATGAGTGGTTACCAGAGGGAAGGGGGGTGGAGGGTGGGCACAAGGGGTGAAGGGGTGCACCTATAAGATGACCGACAATAATGTACAACTGAAATGTCACAAGGTTGTAAGCTACCTGCACAACAACAAAAAAGAGTGTTTTAAAATTAGTTAAGAAAGACATTTTAACATTATATAAAATCTGTATACCAAATTTAAGCAGAAAGAGGTGGATCCACTCCTGGGAGCAGCCTTCTGCCCTGCTGTGGTCGGCAGGTCTCCCCTACTTGGAGCAGTGAGAGAAAACAACCTTCCTATGGGACCTAAAACCTCCCCAAACTCAGAACAGGTGCATCTCCAGGGCCCTAGGGAGGATCCCCACCCCCACCCCCAGCTGTAGGGGAAGACGAGCTTTCCAAAGATGAAGAGCTCCACAGGGAACGGAGAACCTCCACGCGCCCCCGCCCATTCCCCCACTAACAGGGCTGACGGTGCGCCACGGCTCCCCGGGCCCGAGGGAGGCTAACAAGCTGGTTTTCGAAAAGCATCTGAGAATTGAAGACGGGAGCCTCGGAAAGAAGTGTGAGGTATCGTTATTATTCAGCTGAACGTTTCCCCCTGAACCAACGGCACTCAAATTCCCTTAAAAAAGGGCCATTTCTTCTTAGAAAACTTCAATGCGTCACATAATCCTTACTCGGAGGCAGGGAACGAAGCGCTAATGTCAATAAAACGCAGTTTTATTTCACACTAACGTTTATCCACTGAAATAACAATTTACTAAACCTCAAATAATGCTGGCACAGGGCTTCTGCTTGCCCTCAGACTGAAAAAAAAAAAGTGTCGTCGCCAGCCAGACTTCGACAAGAATGTCACAGCGGCTTTCCCATAATAGGCCCCAAAGTGCAAACAACTCAGATGTTGGTCAGAGGTAGAATGGATCTAGAAATTGCGGGAAACTGGTACAACGCAACTCTACGCAGTAGCTAAAAAATCCCACACGACGGCCACACGCAACACAGATGAGTGTCAAGCTGCCGACAAAAGAGAACAGGCCGCGTGATTCCATTTAGGTGAAGTTCAAGGACAGGCAAAGAGTGGGGGAGGGTAGCACCTGGGAAGGGGCATGAGGACCCCCAGGGGCCTGGAAAGGACCTGTACTTTGATCTAGGTGATTGGCTATGTGGGTGTGTATAAAAACTCAATAGTGCACTCCAGATTTGGGAAGTGTCCTGTGTGGCGGCTATGCCTTAAGTTTCTAAAAAACATTTTTTTTTAACCAGTTTTGTCATTCAACAGGAGCGCTGAGGCCCCGTGATTCCTCTTACTGAGACGCAGCTGAAATCGGAAGTCACTACAGGAGGAAAACTTATGCGAGGGGGTGGGTTGGGAACCAGGAAGGCTAGGACTGGGCGGGACAGCAGCCAAGGGGGACCACATTTGCCACGCTTTTCCTAACCTTTCTTAAGCATAAGATGATAGATGCTCATGGTAACACAAACAAAGAATACAAAGTAAATAATAAAATTCCTCCCCCTTTGACCCACTCCTTCCTCCCCACCCATCCCCCAGAGGTCCCCACTGGAGGAGTTTCTTATATACGCTGGTGTTTTCTTCCAGAAACTCCGGATGTCCCCTAAACCCACCTCCGTCTCATTAACGCCCCATAGAACTCCACTGTCTGGATGGACTTCGCTTTGAGGAGCATTGGTGTGGTTTCAAGCTTTCCCCCCATAATAAACAATGCTGCAATTAACATCAACGTGCAAAAAAAGATGGACAAGTCTATCTGTAAGATAATTTCTTAGAAGCGGAATTCCTAGACCAGAGGGTTTAATCACTTATCACGTTGGTAAATACAGTCATGAGTTGCATAGTGACATTTTGGTCAACGACAGACCACATAAATGACAGTGGTCCCGTTAGATGAGCACCATGTAGCCTAGCTGTGTAGTGGGCTGTACCATCTAGGTTTGTGCAAGGGCGCTCTACGATGTTCGCACAACGACAGAATCGCCTAATGATGCCTTTCTCAGACTGTGTCCTTGCCATTAAGTGACGCATGGCTGTCCCATCACACTGACAGCATAGCAGAATGCCTGCTTCCCCTCTCCCTTGCCAATGTTAGGTTTTATCAACTTTTTTGATCTTTGCCAGTCTGACAGGTGAAAAAAATGCTATGTCCTTGTTGTCTCATTTTGCACAGATTTCATTGTAAACGAAGTCTATTGATGGGTCTGTTCATATTCTGTTTGTTCATATCCTTTAAGCATTCTCTCTTGCTTGAGTTCCCCACCTCTGGAGCTGGCAGACTACGGCCAAGGGCGCAATTGCACGCTGCCCATTTTGTGCCACTGCCCAGATCCAGCCACACGCATTCCTGTCTGCAGCTGCCTTCGAGCTACATGGACAGCGCTGAGCAGTTTCGACAGTAAAAAGATTTACTATCTGGACCTTTGCAGAAAAAGTTTGCTGACGCCTGACTCGAGTTGATTTCTGGATATGAGTTCTTTGTAAATTAAGCAAACAGTCTTTGTCATATATAGTCTGTTTTGCATTGAACTTATCACTCTGTTCTGCTTCCTGCCCCCAGTTCAGCAAACACAATCAGGTCACAAGTAACACTTTAAAAGCAGAGCCCCCTGAACACTTTAATGTACACAGTGCATCTGGAAACACTCTGGTCCACAATATTTTAGGGGTGGCATGTTCATACCCATTTTACACATCTGGTAACTGAGGCTCAGAGCCATGGGTGACCTTCCTGAGGTCACACAGCTAGCAGGCGGCAGAGCCAGGATCCACACCCTTGTCTGCCTGGCTCCAAGTCCATAGATCTTTCCACTTGAGCATCCTGCCTCTTAATGCACAGGACCAGCACCAGGGGCTGGCGGTAAAAAGCAAAGTCTGACAGCTGTTGCCTGTGGCACCACAAGGATCCGTGAGGTGTGTGGGACAGAGCACGGGGGAGCCCCCGCTGTGTCACTGTCATACTTGTGTATAAAGACTGCACATTCCTGAGTCGGAGTGGGGGCAGGAAAGAAGGTTACACCTTCGAAACAGAAACCACATGGTGTGGACGGAGCCCTCCTTTGGGGTATGGAGTGTGCACGCCCCTCCCTCTGGCTTACCCACTTGTGAGGAGCATTGCCTACTGTGGAATGGCCCCCCAACGGAGCGGGGAGGACCAGAGAACAGTGACGTAACAGATGTGCTCACCCACGGGGCGGGAGCAGGGAAGATAGCGTGTGAGCCTGAGGCAGCCGGAAGCGAGAACTTGTATTACCCCCTGGCACCGGTCCACGGACACCCGTTACACAAATTTGACAGCGACCATTACAATCTCGGAACCCTGAACAAATTACACCAACAAGGTTACCATCCTGAAGAGTCCCCCCATTAAAACCACTGACCCACAGAGCAAGAGTCGCTCAAGGAGAGTTTAGGAGACGACGTACGGGGCATGTTTTTTGTAAGGCTTAACGCGCACTAGCCGTGTTCTTCTCCAGCTGCCATCTGGGAACCTGCCGGCAAAGTTTCCTTCAGCAGAAAAGCGTTTTTAAGGGGCTTCCTCGAAAGTTGTCTTTTCCTTTTCTTTCTGTTCCCATATTTAAGTCAATTCAAATATTTACTTTCTAGACCAATCAGATAATGCGGCATATCTACAGGGTGGATTTCCTTCAGTTGTCACAGTTGCCCTGGAAAATGGGAGTGCAGACCAAGAAACTAAGTAAGAGAGTCCACCCAGCTGGGGTTGGTGGGTAAGCCGGCATTCCAGCCCTGGCTCTGGATGTCAACGTCCAACCTCTTATCCTCCCCAGATCTTGGGAGTAACAGCAAAGTGAACAGTATGTCACATCTCGTGTCTCTTCATTTTACGCTTGGTGTAACTGGCAATCCTGAAAATAATCAGTATTAATATCCTGATCTCGCTGGAGAGAAATGACCTTCAGAGAGCTGAAGTGACCACACTTCTGTCCAAGGTCTCAGGGTGACCACAGAAGAGTAGTTGTGACCGGAACCCATGTCTGGGGCCACAGCGTGACCCTCCTTCCCACACGGCCACAGACCCAAAAGGTGGTTGCCTTCTTCCCTTGATCTTGATCTGACTTTTTTTTTTTAACCCAAGTTTCACAGAGCTGGTTTTGCAAAACAACAGCTGTCACGCTCTGGGTCATGGTGATCATTTGGGAATTCTGGCCCACATGGGACCTAACCCTCGTCTCGATTACCAGGAGACGCCGTCTTCATGGCCCGGTGCAGGGGAAAGGCAAGAGAGAAGGGACGGCAGTTTTAAACGGACATGAGGAGATTCCAGTTATCAGCATCTGACACTCCTTTTTTTCATCACAGTCACCTGAACGGCAGCCCTCGATCTGGCCTTTCATGCACGACGTGCTCCAAGGAGCCACAGCCACAGAAGCACCCTCATTCTCCTCCACCCCCTCACCCTGCCACCACCAAACCAGACACCCAGCCCTTCAGTCCCGGAAGCAAGTCTCGCATCAGAAGGGCGAAGAAACACTGTGTAAGAAAGTAGAGAAGGACGTCAGGAGGTTGCCCTTCCAGCACAACTCAGCCTGGAACCTTCTAGTAATCCCTGGGCCCTCTGAGTCCCACCATCTCCCCACTCGCCTCCCGCCATCCTCCCTTGCCTCAACTCTTGCTCGTCTCGTTTGAGTCTCAGCCACAGTCGGATCACGACATACATACGCTGTACATGTGACCCACTTAGGGCACGGACATCGGGGTCTCACATTCCTTCTATGTGTCCCGCACGATGCCCAGTATAGCATCCCCCAGACAGGGCCCACTGATTGATTCAAACAAGGCCCATCATCTTTAGAAGAAGAGTTAGGTTTACAGGTCCTTTTAAAAGACCACAGAAAGAATGAACGGGCAAACACAATGTGGTCCATCCAGACAATGGGATATGATTCAGCCTCACAAAGGAAGGAAATTCTGACACATCTCCAACATGGATGAATCTTGAGGACATTACGCTAAGTGAAATAAGCCAGACATAAAAAGAAACACAGTGTGAGTCCATTTACGGGCGGTAGCTAAAGCAGGCGGACTCACAGAGACAGAGTGTACAATGGTGGGTGGGGGGTGGGGGTGGGGAGTTGGTGTTTAATGGGGACACAGAGTTTCCGCTTGGGGAGGTGAAAATGTTCTGGAGATGGATAGTGTACAGCAATGTGAATATTCTTAATGCCCCTGGACGGTACGCTTAAAAATGGTAAATTTTGTGTTATATGTATTTTACCATAATTTTCGAAAAGTCACATCAAGGATCATTGATGCACAGATTCGAGACCAGACTGGTGGGGAGACCACCTTCCCTTCTGATATGGAGGGGCATCTCCAAACCATTTCGCCAGGATGTGACAAGGCTGAGCCTGAGGCTATCTTTGGCCTCAAAGCGCCCCCTGGCCCACCTGGGACCCATCATTTCCTTACAGCTGCCGGGAGGGTGTAGGGGTGGAGAGCAGCAGAGATTCAGGGAAAGGACAGAAGTGCAGCGCTGGAGCTGAAACCCCGTCCTCCCGGGCGCACAGGGTTTCCAGCACACATTACGGAGGAGGCGCTCAGTAGCTGTTGAGTGACTGACCGTTTTTTCCCTTTCTGGTAGCTTGGTAACCTTGCACCTTCAAGAGGAGTCACAAATGGCAGGAGAAACTTTTTCCAACTACAAATGAGAGGCGTTGGGAACAGGCTGGACACACAGGTCAGTCTGGCCCAAGGCCACGCTGGTACAGGTGGCTCTCTGCTGACACTCCTGAGCTGGGGAAAGGCGAGCTCCCAGCTCAGACGAGCCTGTTCACCGGGGTGCAGGCGCAGCTGGGCAGGCTGCTCCCCACAGGGTAACTGTCCCCCTGCGGCCCCCTCGACTCTGCTCTGAACCCCGAAGGGACAGAGAATGAAACTTCCCTCCCTGTGCCCAGAGCTCAGAAGAGCTTCCAGCCCGGGCAGTGTCCTGGGGGAGGTCAGTGCCCCTGGGAAGGTGACTCCAGGCCCGAGGCCACTAGGGCCTCATTCTGGCTTTGCTGGGAACCTGGGCCCCTGGTGTCACTGCCCATGGGAGGGGCTGTCCTTCTCTCCTCCTACCCCCTGGGGCCCCACCTTCTCATGAGCCTCTGACTCAGGGCTGGCTGTGGTCTGGAAACTTCCTGTCCTTTCAGGTGTTAGAAAAGGTTCTTTTCCTCCCTCTGGGGCAGGTGCACCGAAGGGCACCCTGCCGGGCCACTGCCCCCGACCCCCCACTCACCCCTTTCCTCTCTGAGGGGCGCGGGGACCCTGCCAGAGGGAGCCACTTAGAGACGGACGAACCGAGAGAAACACGGAGAGAGATAAGGGAGGTGGAAAGTGGAAGAAAGAAAAAGGTTTGGAGGAGGGAGAGAAAGAGGGGAAGCGGGAAAGAAAGATGGGGAGAGAGGGATGCGAGTCCAACACCGAGGGGGCGAGCGGAGCCCCTCACTCCCGCCCCCGCCCCAAGGCGCGCTCCACGGCATCCCCCCCGACGGCATCGCCCCCACCGCGCCCCGGTGCTACCCCCAGGCGCGTCCCCCACCACGGCCGCGTCCCCCGCACCCCTCCCCCCCGGCGCCGCGCCTACCTGGGGCGCTCATGCTCCGCCAGCCGCGCGGGCGCCTCCTCCGCGCAGGCCGCCGGCTTCCTCCCGGCGCCCCGGCCCTCGGTCCCCGCCGCCCGGACCGTCCGAGGGGCGCCGCCCGCCCAGGGGCTGCAGGGCCGGGAGGGGACTGCGCGCCACCCGGGCAGGAGTCCGGAGGCCAGAGGAGGCAAAAGAGAGAAAAAAGGAGAGAAAGTGTGTCACAGGCTGGGAGGGGCGGGGGAGGGAAATGCAAAACCCGACAGGAAATGAGACTAAAAAAATGCAAAAGGTTAGAAAAAGAGATAAGGAAGAGGGGGAGGGGGCGGAGTTTGGGTCCCGGGCTTGGGAGGAGGCATCGGTAACGAGGTGGGGGTGTTGGGGATGGTGGGGATGGTGGGGGTGGTGGGGGGACCCAGGGATAGGGGCGCTGCGGGGACTGGCCACGGGGGTACCAGGAGTGGGGAGTCCCAGGCAGGCCCAGAGCCACCTGCCCCACGTGGGGTGAGGCTGGACCCCAGCCGGGGCCATCAGACACACCTTCCTCTGACCCCAAGTCCGCCCGACCCGGACCCAGAGAACCTGCCAGAACGCAGGTGAGGCCCTGGGAAGGGTTGCCCCCTTTTGGGTTCGCCAGGCTCTGAGTGGGAGGTTTGGGCAGCCGTCCCTTTAGAGGAATTGGCCACGTTCTGGAGATCTTCCAGACCGTGTCACTGCGATTTAGGGGGGAGGCTTTGCCCACAAAGGAGGGGGAAGCAAGGGACTTGGGGGGCGTCGGCACCCCCAGGCCTCTTTCCTCCCTCAGCCTTTGTTCTGGAAGCTTCCTGGGGCTTGCCTGGCTGTCAGCATCCTCCACCGGCCTCCCACACCCCTCCTGGACACTTCATGGTGACAGTCCAGCGGGACCCTCCTCACCCCACTGCCTCGGCCCCCACACCCGCCCCCGAGTAGTGTTCTCAGAGGCCTGGCGAAGCACCCTTGTAAGAGAAACTGATTTCTGGATGTTGTGGTTCCAATAATTTCCTCCAGAAGCTGCCTGTGGCATAGGCCCCTGGGGCGGGGGGGGGGGGGGGGGGAACACGTCGTTCTTTCACGTAAGTGCTGTATGGGTGGGAAGGTCCCAAGGGTTGATCTGAATCCTGAACTTAAAAATCTGTGGATGAGAATCTTGGGCTCTAGTCTGCCGACTGCTGATTCCCCACTGTTTCCCCAGCCCCCAACCTCTGCTTCTGCTCTGCCTCAGTTTACCACTCTTTTGTCGCCCTCCTCCCCCTCTTTTGATTCCCCCTACGACAGCTAGGGAACGTACCCTCCTGTTTCGTGTTTTAAGTTCTCTGAGAAAAGTTCCTTGAGCTCCCGGAGGCAAAGCCATTCGATAAATTAAACCACCAAGCAAGAGGATAAATAAATAATGGCGCTGCGGTCCACGCGCAGGAGCATTTGAAGTCCCGGCAATTTGGAGGAGCGAGGACGTACCGATGCCCACGGGCCAGGCATTAAGGAAGACACAAGTTTGCTTTCTGCAAAGCGTGTTCAAAAATGCAAACAAGAACCGCAAAGAGAGAAGGTTCCCATAATAAATACCAAGGGCCCCAGCATCCAGGTCCTGAGAGCCCCATGACTCCTCCGACCCGGGAGGAATTTCCTTTGCGCTCGGTGAAACCTGGAAAGTGGGGGTTTAACCGAGCGCTCTGGGTTCCCTCATGCAGGATCTGAAGGGTGGGTTTGCCCTAAAACAGCATCAAAACTCATTATGGAGATAGAAGTACAGTTAAGTGCACAAACTCTGCAAAAGCTTGATGAATTTTCACAAAACCAGCACACTCATGTGACCCACACCCGAGTCAAAGCATAGAACTTTGTCTGAACCCCAGAACTCCCCTTGATACTCCTTTCTAGTCCCCCCACCCCCAACCCAAGGATAGTCACAATCTGACCTCTAACAGCATAGATCTGTTTTGCCTGATTTCTTGCCTATAAAGTTCAAAAACTTTATACAAATGGAGCCATACGTAGATTCTCTTTTGGGTCTGGATTCTTTCACCCAATATGTTTCTTCAGCTTTAGTGATGGGGTTACAAGCAGGTATAGTTAGTTCATTGACGACACGTGTCCTTTTCTCCCCAAGACCTTAGTAGAATGTTTAGACATCCAGAAGAGTTAGAAGGGTTGTACAGTGAACACCCATATATCACACCACGTAATTCTACAATGAACATTTTGCTCTATTTGCTTCGTCACACATCTATCCATCTATCCCTCTGGCCATCAACCCTTCTCATTTCTTTTTTTTGTCTTTGGATGCATTTCTAAATAAGTCGAAGACATCAACATACTTCACCTTGAAATACTTCATCATGCCTATCATTACCTAGAGAGTTTTTTTAGGTAAAATTTACATCCCGATTTTAACTATATCATGCAATGAGTTTTGACAAATGTATACACTTTGTAACCAAAATCCCTGTGAAGATATAGAACTCTGTGTTCCAACATGGCAACCACAAACCGCACTTGGCTTTTGAATGCTTGCCATGTGGCTGGTGTGAATGAGGAACCAACTTTTAAATTCCATTTAATTCGAATTAAAATCTAAAACTGATACTTGATTCTGTTATTGGAAAACTTTTAAGTATGTGGAGAGCAATTTGAGTACATTAATCTACTTTTGCAACTGTAAATTTTACAAATAGAGGTCAAGCGTTTGCAAGGAAAATTTGGTGTCCGAATTGAGGTGCTGTAAGACACAGTATGTAAAAAAGAATGCAAAACATGTCATTCATAATTTTGGTATTAATTGCATGTTGAAATAATATTCCAGATATGTTGGGTTAAATAAAATAAATTATCAAAATGAATTTCACATTTCTTTTTTAATGGTGCCGCTAGGAAATTTTAAATTATACATTATATTTTTATGTGACGGTGTTGATATCGTGTGGAACACTGCCATCGCCCAGAAAGTTCCCTCCGACCCGGGCATGTCCTTTCAAAACTTCATTCCTCTGTGGCCCCAGAGGGAGGGTGATTTGAAAGTCTTTGAATAGGACTTCTGGTTTCAGACAGAGAACCAAAAACAAACTTTCACCTCCTCTTTGAAAACCTGCTGAAATGACAGCAAAGAAGAGTGGGCAATGAGTCAATAGAGGCTCCAGGAAAGTGACCGAGTGGACAGGTGCAGGGCATTTCCGGAAGACAGGACGCCGCAAACGGAAGCCCCAGCTCTCACAGGGTTTTCGTGGCCAACTTTTTCAGAAGTGGGTGACCAGGTCCTTCTTCCTAGTCTGTCTAGTATGGAAGTTCTGCTGAAACCTGTCCACCGTGGGTGACCCTCCTGGTATTTGAAATACCGGTGGCATGGCTTTCAGCATCACAACCACACACAGCCGCCACAGTATGACAGCCGACAGATGGGGGTGTGGTTCCCTGACCGGGAAAGGAACCTGGGTGGGAGAGGTGAAAGCACCAAGTCTTAACCTCTAGATCATCAGGGGAGAAGGGGCAGCATTTGGGAGTGGTTCTCCCACTGGGGAACCCATCGGATCTATCTGGTTTGCAGGCAGGGCAGGTATGAAAGGCAGGGCAGACGCTGAGTGATGGATGGATGGAAGGGCTGACGGTAGAATTCTCTGGACACTTCCCTCCTCTAACCTTCCACTGTGTGACTTCAGTTTCTCCCCCAAGTGAAGCCAGAGAACTATTTTTAATGAAACCTGCTCTGAGGGTCAAAGGCTCTTGGAATGGGGACAGTGGCCCGAGGAGATCCCTTCCCATGTGACATTTAGCAGAGGGACAGCCCACTAGACCTTTCCCTGCCTGGGCCCCCTAAAGCAGTGCCCCCTGAACCATCTGCAGAGAAAGAGGTGCCCCGACTGCCCCTACCTTTAAAAAATTTCTAATCTGTTATGGATTGATATTCTTATAAACTATAATAAAAACAAATCATGAGAAAATGGAATTTAAAAAATACTCAAGGTACAAGGTCGCTGATCACGCTTGCTTATATGGCAGTGTCCAAAAGCTGTGGAGGTTTCTAAATGCTGGGTCTCAGTTTGTGTTCTCATCTTGTCAAGGACTGGTGCACAGAAGGACAATGGTCCATGGTCAAGAGTTTGCGTAGCGCTGCCCAGGAGGAGAGGCAGCCTGCCCAGGCAACCACGTCTGCCCCGGCCAGTCAACCTGGGCCTTCACAAACGTGGGCAGAAATCGGCAACTTGAAAGAGTGAGACTGAGATAAACAAATAGGACAGCTGTCTCCTGTGGGTGTACAGGGAGTGGAGTCCGCTGGGGAGGGACCGGAGCATAATGATCCAAATGGATATCCACAGAGAGATTCAAGCAGAAAGCACAGCCGGAAGACGAGAACCGATTGCTGTGAAATGGGCTGCCTGAATAAAGGGACAGTTCATGGACATTCAAAATATGATTGCCAAAATACTAGAATGAATAAATAAAATTCCACACAAGGGCTGGAAGAAGATGTCTGTCAAGTATATCTCCTAGGCTGGAAAGCCAAAATGAAATCAAACCCATGAAGACGTGAGAAGTCTGAGGGAAAAGTTGAGACAGAAACGATCAATTCGAAAAGACCAGTGTGCATTTAAAAAGCATTCTGGGCAGGAAAAGAGAAAACAGAGGGAGGAATTAATCCAGAAATGATGATAATAATAATGTTTGCCACAGCTGAGGAGTGACATGATTCTCTACAACGAGAGGGCCCCGGGAGAACCAAGATGGAGACTGAAAAAAGATCTCCACGTAGACACATCCTCATGAAATTTCAGAAAAGAAAAAAATGGATAATGAGAAGATTCTGAAATCTTATAGAGAGGGCAAAAAAATGCATGCTGATGCCAAGCATGAGCTGAGATTCAGGGCTCTCATGAGCAGCCCTGGATTATCTCCTGGCAAGGACATAATGAAGGCAAGCTTGAGCGTTCTCGGAAATTTCCTTTAAACGTAGAGTTCTGTATTCCACCAAATTATCATCCAGGTGTGACAGCAAAACAGACATGTTCTTAGACATGCAGGGGCTTTGGGAAATTTGCTTCTCAACCACTTCTCAAGATACCAAAAAATTGCTTGAGAATGCACTACAACAAAGTGGAAAAGAATGGAAGAAAGAGGAAGACGTGGGATCTGAGAAAGAGGGAAATGAATCCACGAGACCAGTAAAAGGAATGGTAACTGTGCGGGAGCCCCAGGATAAAGTCGGCCTGTGGCTGAGCTTTCGGTGCAGACCTAGCTACCAAGGAAACTGAAGAGCACTGTGAAATCACTGGTTTTATGCCAGATGGACCTAAAAGTCTTATTTGGTCAAAAATGGTCATTTCTAAGGAGTTGAACTAGGAAAGGGGTGAGTGGGGTGGTTATTTGTACAATGGGTGTATTTGTTCTTTGCTGGATGTCCTCCTAGATTGGAAAAGGTCTATTTCCATATCCTTGTAATCCTTTTATAATAAAAATAAATCGTTTTTATAAGAAGCAGGAACTGGGGGGACCCCTGAAGAATAAAACCCAGGGAGGTAACACATATCTCCGTCATTCGAGTTATCACGATCTGTGCACGCGGTTGGGTCACAGGCTCACTCATACCACTGGACGTGTGTGTCCAGAGAAAAGCTCTATTTTATCTAGAAGTAATCTTGTCTTCTTTCTGGGCCCCTCCTCCACGTTAGTAGGAAAAATAAAACTTTTAGCTCTAGCTGGCTTAAAATTTAGCCTCATCTAGTAATTGAACAGTGCTTTTAGGTATCTGGAATAAAAACGTTTCTCTCCCCTGTGGCTGCTGCTCCTTCTGCTTTCCCCCCAAGACAGCAGGAGTCTGTGAAGGAGAAGAGGGGCTTTTAGGACCTGGAGGGCCATGAGGAAGACTCGGGGTCCCAACCTCTGACCTCCAGTTTCTTGGATCTCCAGGCCAGGACCTCTTTCTCCCCCTATTGCCAGCTGGAATTCACGGCTGACGTCTAGCTCCGGTGGGACTCCTGGTCTGCTGTCTCTTGGCTCGGGTTCATACCTGCCATACTCTTATTCAGCCCGGAAGGCCACCTGCAGCCTCTGCTGTGGGGTCCGCTCTCGTGCCACAGCAGGCTCTCACTTGCTGTCCGGGTCACGGGGGAACTTCGAACTAGCTCAGGGAGGCCCATGCTCCAGGCCTCTCTCTGCAGGATGTGCTGTGGCATTCAGGTTTTGCAGGGGGGCAGCCCAAGACTCATGTGTGGTCCTTTCAGCATCCTCTCTCTGTCTCCTGTATCCAGCTATTGGGAGAACTCCAGGAGACCCCATCTTTCTAAATGTGAGGAAGCTGACAGGGAAAGAGATCTCTCTCCCTCGTACATGCACACTTCCCCTTGCGGACGTCTGTGTCTTCTTTCCCCATCGGAGCAGAGACAACTAGAAGCAGACCCTGAGACGGGAATTCCTGGGAGAATGATTTCAGGAGAAGGAAAGCGAGAAGAGCAGAAGAGCCGAGAGGAAAAGGCTGAACTGGGAATCATTCCAGCTGGAGTCCAGTCCGATCCCACCGGGAGCCCTGGAGCGAGAACTGCACCAGAAAGAATGCTCCCCTTGAGGCCACAAGACGTTGGTAAGCCATTGGCTGAGGGCTGCCTGGGGGAGGTGTGCGTCACAGGGCTTCTCACAAGATGGGGTCACCCTGAACTGACATCTTGGAAACAGCAAGGACGCAAACAGCAAAGACCCGTGTCACAGCTGCCCAGTTGGAAGCGGTTCATGAAACTGCTTCCATTCCCGAGACTGTCAGCCATTTGTTACGTCCCTCCTTTCTCACTATGGCTCCCCAGTATGTCTCACTATGTCTACCAATGCTCCCTGTCTTCAGTTTTCCTCCCCCTGAAAGATTTTAGCTATATACAGCAGCCAAAGCTGCCTGAGCCCCGACGGGACATCAGGAAGGGAAAAATGAGAGATTGGTTTTACCTAGAGCCGAACCTCTGATCCAGTCATGGGGCTGTTTTAAGACGTTTCTGTACTGCACGGAGATCAAAATGGAATGAGAGTAGGAACCCAGGGGAAGATGTGGTTCCCTCTCTTAAATGACCCCCCTTTGCTGGTCTGGTGCACCCCCACCCTCCTCCCTCCCCTCCAGAGAGCAGTCTCCTTCTGGGGCAGGCCCCTTCACCTCCCAGAAAATCATCCTTATCAGTGCAATGGTCACACGCTTGGGACAGCAAACAGGCATTTCACAAACTATTGATCTGAGAATGAGTATATTGCTTTTTTCCCAGATGCCACACCTCGCTGCCATGGTATATATTAATTCTCCCAAAAATAGCATCAAGAGCAAAAACAGAACCTTCCAGGCCTTTAATTATGTTTTACGTGCTTTATATTTTTATGCTGTTATTGCTCTCTCAGCCCCTTCAAGCTCATTCTTCTTCATTTCAGATAGTTCCCATGCCATCTCCCCATGCAGAGATGCTTCCAGAAAGGCATCAATATATCTACATTATCCCACACCGATAAAAAGACAACCCGCAGAAAGGTCCGTTTACGTTCCTGTGTATGCTGAACACCTTAAATGACCCTTGACTTAACTTGGGTTTTTTTTTTTTTCTTCTCCAATTCCTACAGAAAGCACGGCTTAAGTCAAGGAGGAAAATATTCCCATCTGTAAGCTGGTAATATGCATTCAATAGTTTTCAATTGCTTGAGCTACGAAATATGATGATAGCCGTCTATATATCTCACGAGGAAAAGATACCTTGAAATTCCCTCGGCCACAGTGCTGATGGGGAGGCATTTCTGCAGGAAATCTGCAAAATGGCGGTAGGCTCGTAAGAGGGCCACTGTTGCAATGACCTCGGTGTTTCGGTGGAAGCCTGGGAGGCCGGCTCCA